GTCAATCAGTATCTGATTGGCTTATTGTACTTAGTCAAACAAAAAATTGAAATGAAATTCAATTAAGTGATTTAAATAGAGGTATGATTTATTTGATACTTTGTGAAGAAAGAAAAAAAAAGTTAATTTTATGCGTTGTATTTAGGATCAATGTATAACTTTAAATTTGAAAATGCAGCTGTAGCAAATATATAGTTTCAACGTTTGAAAGAAGCATCAACATTTAAACAAAATAATGGTTGACGTTCAGAAAATTTAATTGCATTAGATTAATACTTCTAACCAAAACAAATTCATAATTTGTTTTGGATAATTACGTTAATATTTGAGAATTAATCATCATTATCACTGGTCACGAATATACGTGCCGATATTTATTATTGAAAACAAGAAGAAAAAGCAAAAAACCACGAAGCTTCCTTATCTTTCTTTTTTTTTTACCTATATTTCTTATTTTTTGTGTATGGTAGATATTTTAGTTTAGTATATCTAGAGGTGTAAGCCGTGCGACTGAGCCGCCGCCGCCGCCGACTTTTAAGAAAAAAATACAGCCGCCGCCGCCGACTTTTAAGAAAAAAAATACAGCCGCCGCCGCCGTAGGGGCAAAAAACTTAAAAATTTCTCAGCCGCCGCCGCCGAAGGCTGAGAGTTTCGGAGCCGCCGCCGCCAATGGACCAAAAATAATTAAAATTTTGGAGCCGCCGCCGCCGACGCCGTGACATTAATATAAATATTAGGTTTCCAAAAATTTTTAGTCTGACAAAAAAACATATTTGAATGTATCCACGAAGAAAGGATTTAAAACCATTCTATCTTATAGGTACCTTCATGAATATCTCGAGTATAAATATCTCGAATATGAATATCTCCTCTGCTCTCGTTTAGATCTCAAAAAAGAGAAGATCAAACTTTTTTGTTTTAGTTCTTATTATGCTAATATATGTATCATGAATCTTTTTTATTTTTTGCAAAATTCGTCGACATGATCATTAAGTTTTCAGAATAGACTTATAGAAGACCGATAGGGTGTGCCGTAAGAGTTAGCTCTTTATCAAATATGGTAGTAGCTTTAGATTAATTTTCAGTAAAGAGGGAACATATTTAAGCTAAACTTTTTCATTCATAATCAGTTCTTTTTGAATCGATTTCGTATAATGATTAAATACTTATGGTTCTCGTGCAGTAACAACAGCTTCATATCTTTTAAGAGTCGAAAATGTTGGAGATGTTCACTTGTCGTTTGACAAAGATAGTTGAGCTGTTGTTGGATGCAGTAAACAAACTTTCATATATTATAGCAGATACAATGAAACATTATGTGTCAGCATTTTTTTGCTGAGGATTATCAACGTTTATAGTGTATTTTTCTTTGTATACTGTGTATGTTTCGATTCAACTGTTTCAAAAAAAGTCTGTTAATTATTGATCTGTTGAAAGCAACGCTTTATCCGAGGTGTACCCAGATCGAAAATGAGTACAATACTAATAATATTTTTGACAAAGGACTGTCTCTCACGACAAATCTTAATGTTCTTCTACAAGTCTTTTCTGAAAACTTAATGATCATGTCGACGAATTTTGCAAAAAATTAAAAAGTTTCATGATACATATATTAGCATGATACGAACTAAAACAAAAAAGTTTGATCTTCTCTTTTTTTTAGATTTAAATGAGAGCAGAGGAGATATTCATATTCGAGGTATTCATATTTGATACATTCATGAAGATATCTATAAGATAGAATGGTTTAAACCCTTCCTCCGTGGATATATCCAAATATTTTCCCACGTCAGAACCAGTTTTTAGGTTTCTTTCAACCTAGTCTCTTATTATAACGTTTTGTATTGATGTTCCTTTTCGTTTTTTCGCTTCAAACTTTCTCAAAATTGAAAAGTTTTTTGAAAAATAACTAAAAGCAACTCCAGCCGCCGCCGCCGACGTATAGTTCGTTCCTAGCCGCCGCCGCCGAAGCACCAAAAAAATTAACAATTTCGAGCCGCCGCCGCCGATCAGGGCGTCGGCTTACACCTCTAAGTATATCATCGCGTTCCTTTTTTTTCTATGGATATTGTTGTGTGTGTTTGTCGAAAAATAATGTTTTCTTTTCGTGTGCAAATTTTGATATATTGAAACAAGAAATAATAAAAAGCGCAGTGAAACAGTCAGCGCAGAAAACTAGTACAATGTCTTTGCTCTTGTAAAATTTGGCAAAGTAAAATAAAGCAAATGAAAGCAACCATTGTACAGCAAAAAAAATTAAAAGAATATGAAAATATTTTGACTACTAAAACTTTCATTCAGTTAATAAAGAATATCGGATATGAAAGGTTTGTTTTATTTCAGATAAGTTTTTCGTTGAATGGAACGATCAAGGTCAAATGACGAAATTCGAAATCGAAGGCCAATGAATAAGAAAGTACCAGCTGGGTAAATAATTATTTACTATTGATCTGAAATGAATTGTGTTTTTATATATGTAGTTGGCTTGATTATTTTCCATTGAATACTGGATTGAAAATAGTCGTTTTGTTCCATTTAAATGTTCTTTACGTTGGGTTAAGTATAATACAGTTAATAGAGAATAAAATCGAATATGAATAGTTTGATTTTTTTGTAGCCAATCTTACGAAATATTAATAAACAAGACCGGTTTTCTATAAATGATTTAATTGATCGTTTGGAAAATCAAGGACGAAAAATCGGTTTAATTATTGATTTAACTGATACTTATTTGATATTATGATTATCGAGTAAGACCTATTGCAGATCAATATAAAAAATTAAGTTTTTTTTGTTATATGAAAAAATAGGATGTAGAAGATATGGGTATCGAATATTGTAAAATTCGAGTACCAGGACATCAAGATGTGTCAGATAAAAGTTGTCAAAAATTTTTTCATGTTGTTAACACGTTCTTACGAGATAATCGACAAAATGGTAAAGAATAAATTGAACAAGTTCATAGATTATACTTTTTTTTTTCTTAGATAATCTTATAGGTATTCATTGTACACATGGTATTAATCGAAGTGGTTATTTTATTGTTAGGTAAAATGTTTAATTTTTATAGTATCTTTTTTAACATTATATGATAATTTAGATATTTAATTGAAATACTTGGTCAACAGCCAGATAATGCTATTGCTGGTAAGTTTTTATTATCGTAAAAGAGAAAGACAGTTTTATATAATTTATACATTAGCATTCAATCGAGCACGTGGACATTCAATAGAAAAAAATATTGATGACCTTCGAAGGCGAAAGCCGATGAAGTAAGCTTTTCTTTGCTCATCTAATTTTATTGGATTGATTTTTTATACTTTAGTGTTTCTTCTTCATCATCATCATCAGATCAAGAAGATGATGATTATTATATAGAACGAGATCGACCATTACCATATAGTAGGCCCTCAATAGATCCAACTTTAAATGATATCTCATCGGAAACGTCAAAAATACTTGTATAATTATTGTTTTCGATATCATTACATATCGTTATATTTTGTTAAATAATTTTTGATCTTTGTTATATTTTGA